AAGGGTTCCACAGGGCCATCTGCCAGAGCAGCGGCGCAGAGGAAGATCATTGTCCCTCACTGTTTAAGGTTAAAATGTTTTGTTTAATTTTTTTTTTTTATTTTAGGAACCGAAAGATTAATATAAAATGTGGCACCTGATAATCACGATATATCACCAAATAAATTTTTTCCCCACACCCCTATTTAAAAGCATTGCTAACACCAGTAGCACCATTAGCAAGGACCTCTCCTCACGTGTCTCTGAACTTCCCAGCAACATCAGAATGCTTAATGAGCTTTAGCTCCAGCTTCAGTGAACTCTAACGGTCAGACTGTTTTCCCAAAGCAACTCCAGTTTTGTCCTTCTAGGAATCAAACATCTTCATACACTTGATCTTGGACTTTATTTTTCACAACTAGGCTTGAAGTTCCTCGCTCGCTCGTCTCTGTAGCTTTGGCTTGGTGACCGAGCGGCGTGGTAAGCGGCGAGCCCAGTGATGTAATCCAAGCTACATGATGTTGTACAGTAAACATACACAGAAAGAATAGAATGGATTAGAATAGAATAGGATGAAATAGAATAGAATACAATAGAAAATCCCTTTATTGGCGAAATTCTGGTGTTTACAGCAGCAAAAAGATTATAGAAAAATGGTCACACAAATGTGGACTTTAGAAAAAATGATAAGAATAACATAATAGTGAAGAGTTAAAAGATAAACAATAAAATATTGTACTGTAAAATGTTTTAACAATGTAGAACAATATAAACAAGAAAAAAGGCTACATTTACTAACAAATTAAGCCAAAACAAAGCTTAAAAGACAAATATAAAAAATAATAATACGCCAGTAGGATGTTGTGATTCATCATAAAAGTGGTGCATGCAATCAGAAGGATTTACTGGTGTCTAAATTTAAAAACAAAAGTCAAAAAAATATCAAAATTAAGATAGCCGAGTTACTCAAACATGCAGTCACCTTGAGCAGCACAATTCTAGGAAAACACAACAAAAAACCTGCCGGACTGCTGAACAGACTGAAATAAAAAACAAAGAAATCAGAAGATTTTCTAACCCAGGTGTCCAACAACAGGATTCTGGACAACTTAGCTGCCGAGGAGCTAATTTATTTATCTATTTGTTTGAGATGTGTGGGACCTGACATGTCCTGAAGTTACAGCACACCTGAAGGCTTAAAAACTGCTGTTTTACATTATAGGAAAAGAGTCAGATGAGAACTTTTCTCAAGATTCAAATTAGAACTATTGGAACAATAAAATTAATTTGCAAAGTGATTAATCAGTCAATTATTTTTATGGTTAATCAATGAATAATCAGATAGCAAAAGGTTCCTTAAAGAAGAGGTTTTACGAAAATGAAAACAGGTGAAATTAAAACCTTTCCACTTAAGGACTCCTGGATGGAGCATAATGAAAGAGGAAAACCATGTTTTTTATCTTAAATGCAAGATATATATATATATATATATATATATATATATATATATATATATATATATATATATATATTCGGCCTCGGCAGATGGCCGCTCACACTTAGCCTGGTTCTGCTGGAGGTTTCTTCCTGTTAAAAGGGAGTTTTTCCTCTCCACTGTCGCTACAAGCATGCTTAGTGTGAGGGATTGCTGAAGAGTCAATGAGTCGATACAATCAACTGGTTTTCCTTAGATAGAAAACTTTGTATCAATTTGAATGTATGATCTGGTGAACTGTAAAGTGCCTTGAGATGACATGTGTTGTGAATTTGGCGCTATATAAATAAACTGAATTAAAATTGAATTGAATATATATATATTAAGGGTGGAAAAATCCACGGTTTTTGGTTCGGTTCGGTATATGTTGACTGTTAGAAAAATCTATTATGTCTTGTATAGCACATAAATTATTGCACAATGCTTGCACACTGTTGCACTTTTATCCACAACTTTCTTTCCGTCGTCATCGTAGGTCACTCTAAATGCAAAGTGGTCCCATACAGCAGACCTATAAAGTGCTGCTGGCGCGTCTTCCAACTCCTGTTCTTTCCCACTCGCCATACCCACACAATTCTCCACAACAACTGATTTTTTTCTGCTACACCCGGCTACGCTGCTTCGCTTCTTCTTCTTCTTGTTTACTACTGGTGGTTGGCTTTGGTCGCAGTACCGCCACCTTCTGCTCTGGAGTGTAATCGCTTCGCCTAGGAGAAAAAGGAGCAGGGCATGAACCGAACGCAACACACGCGAACCGAACCGAGACAGTCGAACCGAACGTTTCGGACGGTTTTCATAAACCGTTCTATCCCTACTTTTGCACTGCACTGAACTTTTCCATATTAATGCTTTTTTGCACAACTGTTTTAAACAGTTTTTCTCCTACATTGTTACAGTCTGATTACTGCTGTACTTTATATTGGTAATGTTTATCTTACTCCAACTGCCATATCATTACACTGTTGTAAGATGTATGCAACACACGCGAATCGAGCCGAGACAGTCGAACCGAACGGTTCGGACGGTTTTCATAAACCGTTCTATGCCTAATATATATATATATATATATATATATATATATATATATATATATATATTATCTTACAATATTGGTATAATTACTGCTCTAAATGGGTAGCTATGTCGGCTAAAGGCATGTTTTAGAATCTCTATATTTCAGTTAACGATGAATCAATTACTAAATTAGTTTACGATTATTTCAATATTTGATTGGGAAAGAGTCAACAGAGTTTGGGTTGAAAATTGAAAGTATCTGTGAAGGAGAGAGAAAGACAAGCCCATCAGAAATGCTCTCCTCACCTGTTGCTAAGCAGTAAATGTGTTCTGCTCTCACCAACCGTCTCACATATGACACATTCTGCTAACACCCTGTGAGGGAGCACCACCTTCATCCCTGCCAAACGCTGTAGTGAGGAGGATCGTACGTGCATCGAAGCACGGGTCGTTTTTTGTTTTTTTTGCTTATTTCTCTGGACTTACGGAGGTAGAAAGGGCAGGTGGTGCTGACTAGAAACATTCTCTTAAGGTCTTTGTGACCAGAGCGCTGACGCACAGAGGAGCTCCCCTGAGGCCAAGTCAGGAATTTGAGTCGAGGGACTGACAGGGGGGGGGCAACGTTCTCACGGGATTAAACCACACTAAGGTCTGCACCAGTGGTTGCAGGGTAACCAGGCAACATGGAGGACGAATCCATTTCAACACTGGAAAACCCCAGTTGAGCAAAGTCACAGCAAACTGCAAGAGAACAGTGTTTGACCCAGACTGGCCCTCTGAAAGACCAGCCTGAGCTTTCTAATTCACACACATCTGCTCATTTTCAAGCAAAGATGACTAAGAGCAAACATGGAATCCCTCCTCTAACCCACTAACCACGCCCCACATAATGCAGTTACGGTGTGTCATGCTCTAAACAAGCCTCCCTTTTGTTGTTTGCAGTAAACATCACAGCCTCTTGTTGGGGGGAAAATAGGATTACGTTGAAACACACTGCTGTAAAGAACTGTTCCTTTCAACTTTGTGGCCTGACCCTTTCTGTAAGGAACCAACTCAATAAGCCAGGATCAAACAGAACCATATAATACCTGGACTGTCTGTCAGACAATAACAAGAGCTGCAGTATGCTATGTAAAATGCTCATGACTTTACAGCCATGGGACGTTTTTATGAAGCAAAGATGACAGCGCTCCTCTGTCCTCTTCTACTGTCACAAGTTTCACACCATTTTTATGAGCCTATAAGCTTGTTTTAACTGAATAAACAGTGTTTTTGCATGTCCCATAAAATATAAAAGCCTTCCAAACCGAAGCAGTCATCGGTCTTCACTACTATCTAGACTATATTATGCTCAATTATTTTAATTTGCGAATCATAATCAGGAATGTCAATAAATTTGCTTGCATCTGTAGTTGAAAGTAGCTCAAAATCCTTTCAGAAATTTGCAACTGGTTTGGGTTTTTAATAAATGTAAAATTTTGTTCCCTTTTTTCCCAAACATTCGGTAAAAAGGGTAATATTTGCTAAAACTGCCTCACACTATTCCCTCAGGGAAAGACTGAATGTTATGTATTTCCATTAAGAAAATATCAAACTTTAAGGAAGTTTTGCGAATTAACAATTAAATGGAGTAAAAAAATATTATAAAGAATCTATTAAAAGTAAGATGGAACTGGGTGCTTTGAAAGGAAACTTGCTATAAAGTTTTACTGAATAAAAGTGAATCCTGGAACACATCTTATTTTAAAATCCAGAAAAGGTTCAACTTTACTCTTTTTTTTATCTCCATCTGAATCAGGAAGGGCTTCATTTATCCCCAGTCTTTTAAAATCTGCAGCATCACTTCATCAAAGATGAGTCCTCAAGTCTGAAGTATTTTTTTTTTTATCAATTTACTACATCATCTGTGTCTGTAGTTGAAGAGAGAATATAAAAATCTTCCCATTTCCTGGACCCCATGACCATGTTAGTGGAATCTACTTTTTGAATTTAATGCAAAAACAGAGCAAAGCAGCAGAACAGTTGAAACAAATGGATGGAAGTTAACCTCTGATGTTCCCTGTCAAAAACAGGTTTAACAAGTCAATATTCTAGATACTTTAAAACAATAATCATAGACAACAACAAAAAAAAACAATCATAATATAGGATTTGTGCAGTGATGGTCTTCTCATCATAAATATTACTAAATATCTTATCAGTAATCACATTACAATTTCAGCCATACTTAAGGAACATCAGGTTGTGTATTTAACCTTTTTCTTAGTTTATATTTTTTCATGTATGCAGCATTGTTTGTATTGTAATTTAACATTTCTGACCAAACTAAGAACAGCTATGACGGTTACTAACTGGTTCCTTCTGACCATATATTTAATCCTTCCTTATAAATTCACAAAGATATCTGCTTCTAATCAACAGACGTCGCTCTGCTTTTTTTTTTTAACAGCGTTTCTATCTTCACTCCCTTAGAAAAAAAAATAGATAATTATTTTGCTTTGCTGATACTCACCTACAGTCTGTTTTAAAGCCCAATTAGGTGACTTTGAAGAGAAACAAACGCTTAAAAATATTCCCTGGGCTCCTTTCCTTCTCCTCCGCCTGAAAAGTTTCCCTGTGGTTGAACACCTGCAGGAGTGTCGGAGAGAAGCGGACAGACGGCGGGTTCAGCCGCCGCTGCTGCTGCTGGTCGCTGGGGCTGGGCTGCGCTGTTTGCGGCGGACAACAGCGCCCCCTCCCGGTGCCTCTGTCTGGTTACCTCCGCATGTTTTTCAAGGGTCATGCGGATGACGATTCTAAGCCAGGGGTCACCAATTAAACCTCAGCGGGGTCAGAATAACAAAAATCAACAACCAGTAAAAATCCGGAGACATTTTAGATTATAATCTGTTACTTTAAACAGAATTTAACATTGAAATAAAATGCAGGTGTTTATGCATCCATGTTATACTATGTTTTTTTTAAAATAAAAAATTATAATTAAAAAATATAGAAAGTTTTTCCATTTTTCTTAATTGTTCCTGAAGTAGAGAACAACAATCGTTCAGTTTGTTTTATAGACAATTTCCTGATTCACTTTTTTAAATTTTTTATAAAACACTTGAACTGACCGAAAAATGAGATCCCGGATCAAAGCGGCTGAAATGAGTTTCCTCCGTAGGGTGGCTGGGCTCTCCCTTAGAGATAGGGTGAGGAGCTCAGTCATCCTGGGAGGACTCAGAGTAGAGCCGCTGCTCCTCCACATCGAGAGGAGCCAGTTGAGGTGGTTCAGGCATCTGGTTAGGATGCGTCCTGGACGCCTCCCTGGTGAGGTGTTCCAGGCACGTCCCACCAGGAGGAGGCCAGGGGGAGACCCAGGACACGCTGGAGGGACTATGTTTCTCGGCTGACCTGGGAGCGCCTTGGGATTCCCCCGGAGGACCTGGCCCAAGTGGCTGGAGAGAGGGACGTCTGGGCCTCCCTACTGAAGCTGCTACCCCACGACCCGACCCCGGATAAGTGGAAGAAGATGGATGGATGGATGGATGGATGGATGGATGGATGGATGGATGGATGGATGGATGGATGGATGGATGGATGGATGGACGGATGGACGGACTTGAACTGACCAAATGTTTTTTTTCCTTTCTTTTTTCTGTCTTAATGAGAGCAGTGGGCTTAAGGCTTCCTTGCAAGGCCCTCAAACCTGGGTTTGATTGACGAAAAAATCCATTCCAAAGCACATATCAAGGTGTTTATTTTGAGTGTGGATTGAGATTCATTTTTGATTGTCTTCATGGTGAGGAGCACACCATTTCACTTTTCTTTCACCAGTTCCCCGCAGTTCTTCCAGCAGTCCACACTTTCTCTGCTCTCTTTTTCTCATCGTCTTCTCCTTCTTTCCCATCGCCCGGCTTGCCACAGGTTTGCCTGCTGTGTCTAAAAGTAGCAGCAGCAGCAACCCAGACTGACAGCTCATTGGCGGATTTGGATCACGTGCAGCCTGGAGCCGGACGCTCTGGAGGGCTTTACCGTATTAAGAGGAGAAGCAGCACAAGTGACATTTAAACACTGCCGTCGGACAACATGCTGTACTTTATAAATGTTTTAAATCAGGTTGGGTCCGGATTAACCAGCAGGTGGGTCCGGATCTGGACTGCTAATCCGTGACCTCTGTTCCAGGTCATTGTCACAATAAATACAATGTTGTTGAAAGTTTAATATGTTTCAGTAACTCAAAGTGAAAAACGTTCATTTAAACAGACTGATGCTTTAAAGGTGCAGCTTTTCCATAAAAAAAGACACATAAAAAATAATATATACACAGGTCTGGAATGGTGCAGAATAAGTAAGCATTAATTAAAATAAATTATAGAAAATAAATGGTTTTATACATTTTGATAGGCTGGATAAAAAAAAAATACTTCTGGTTATGATAGCAATGCATAAAATGTTCTGCAGCAGTATGACTAGTAGGTCTGAGAAAATGCTTCTTCTCTGCCTTAGGATGAGAAACATCGGTCAACTTTGAGCAAAGGAAGAAATGCTCAGAAAGCAGGAAGATTTTTGCTTTTCTTCTTGACTAGTGAGTCAATGTTTGCTCATGCCAGTTAAAGGTTAGTGTTATCAGACCTGCCAACTGGCTGGAAATATAAACGGAACAGGAGTGTATGGGCAAAAGTCTGCAGTTTACTGGTTAGGATGGATTAAAAATTCCGTCATCTCATAGCCTCTGCTAAAAGCTAATATATATATCACATTTAAAAAGTGTAAATTCAAACCCAAAATGTTTTATATAGAAACGTGGACCGAATTAAGAGGATGGTAATATCCGCTAAAGTTCATATTTAAGGGCACAAATGAGCACATTTCAACCATACAAGATTCAAATGAGACATTTAAAGCTACAGTGTGTAACTTTTAGCGACATCTAGCGGTCAGACTGCAGCAACATGAACATCTCCCCCCCAACAGTACGGCGAGCGTTACGGGACAAAATGTCTTCCACAACGTCCGCATCACCTACCTTCTCAAGTGATGAGGTTTGTTTACATAGATAATTTTACAGATAGTATTTCATTAGTCTGTGTAGGGTATAGATTTCATGTAGACTTAAGATAATAAATATACCCGTTATTTTTTCTACAATAACATAGTAAATAACATAGTTATGTATAATATATTACATTTCTGACTGTATATCCCTGTAATTATTACACACTGTAGCTTTAATGGCATAGGATAAAAAAGTACCACCATAAAACAAGCTATTATATAATAAGTAATTATTCGGTAGTGTCAATATAATACACATATACCTTTAGTTTAGTTTAAAAGGGTAAAAATGAAAAGGGACCTCTAATAATCCAGAATTAGTTTCCTGCATGCGGCAATAGGACATAAAACAAACAGAACAACGGTCTATAAAAATGATGCCTTTATTGCTGAAAGAATACAACTTGGTAATAAACTCAAGTGAATGTGTATCACAGCATTTTTTTTTCCATCTTTACAGTTAGAATGAACCAAAGTCACAAAGCTAGTTGTTTTGATACTGCACCCAAAGAGAAGTAACAAATTCAGCCTGGATATGAAAGCATCTAATAAAGTTAGACATTAATATTCCTTAACGTCAGTGACACTGAACTGGGAATCACAGTAGCACCTACACCTTTTATTTTTTTTAGAAACAACCTCTGGGTCTGTTAGTCTGTCCTCCATCTTTGGTTCTATGTGAAAAAATATTCTGTCTCAAAAAGGTGCAGCTAATTAGCAATACTGTGGTGGTTCTAGGAAGAGCAAAGATGACACAAAATATCCAAGAAAAAAAAAAAAGAATCTAAAATTAAACAAAGCTTCCATTTATTTCTTTACATAACAGAAGAAATTCAATATTCACAACCCCTCAAAACAATGCTGAACAAATATACAGAGGAAAAAAAAAAAAATGACCGTCAAACCTTTACTAAGAAGGAACAGGATGCTGGAATCATTCACAAACAGTTTCACCTAAACGCATGAATGTCACCGGGCAAAAAGAACGAATCACAGGCATCTTCAGCAGCGTCCGTCTTTTAAACACATCCAGATCGCTACTGAGAACAAAAACTAAGGTCATTTAAACACAAACTAAAAACAGGGGTGGGGTCGATGCAATGTTACTCAGAAACATCATAAACGTTTTTTTTTTGTGTGTTGGTTTTGCGTTCAGTTCGGTTGCAGGTACCGCTATCTGCACAGGGGTCCGTCTTTAGATCCCCCCCCATTAATCTGCTGTCCTTTGTTCCCAGGAGGCATTTTTCTGTCCTCCAAGAAGTCCCACATCTCTGTCGACGACAGCTCTGAGGGGGGGGTAGTGGAGGGTTGTTTTAACGCCGTTCCAGGAAACAACTTGGACGAGCTGAGCAGCGTCCCGGGATCACATGTCGTCCTCTTCGTCTTCATCCTGAGAGGAGCTGGCCTGCTGAGCTGCGCTGGCAGACGCCGCAGCCATCTGTGCCTGCTGCGCGGCCTGCTGCATCTGCAACCACTCCTGCTGGGCCAGCTCCGCCTGCTGCTGCCGAGCCTGCGGGGAAACACACACGGATTCAGAAACCAATTCACTTAAAAAGGAGAAACTGTAAGATTTGGACGATTTCTAAAATGAAAATTGCTTTCTGGTTACTTCTACTGTGCATACAAGATATAATCCCCACAATAAGAATGATGGTGTTCATTATGGAAGATCTGATTGTTTTGAAAGGGGCTGCCATGTTTGGATCAAACACCAGAGGGCTTAAGCATTCGCATCAGCTGGGAGGGGAATAAGATCATGGAGTCACTGCAGGCAGGGATGGGCAGCATTTCTAATACTAAATAGTAGGGATGCACGATATTGGGATTTTGGCCGATATCCGATATGCCGACATTTTAAAACTCATGTAGCCGATAGCCGATATCGATACCGATGTTAAAGCTGGACAAAAATAAGTAGTCATTGAAAATAGCAGTTTTGTTATCCATTTCTGACACTGAAAAAATAATATACTCAAATATATTTTCATATGCTGATATCAAATAGATTTTTAAAAACGCGGTATCGATCTATTTTACTTTCAAAATCTCGTGAAATTTCATCGTTCTGTTACAAACTCTCGTGATATTTTGCAAATTCTTGTGAGATTTTGTTAGTAAAATAGATCGATACCGCGTCAATATATCAACGTATAAAAATATGGCAAAATTTCGTGAATTTTCGGGGGATTTCATAGCATAACGATGACATATAGCAATATTTCATTAGTAAAGAGATTGATATGGTGTTGTGATTGTGATATTTTAATGTATCAATATTTTTTCCCTCGTCTTTAGAAGTTTTTTAAGTCTGTAAAAAAGAAGTTTTTGAGGACGAAGAAAAGGTAGTATTTTTTTTCAGACTTTAGAAACTCAGAAGCTGATCAAATATCGGGTTAAATATCGGTGGGGTGGCCTATGTCCGATATTCAGTTTTAAGGCCGATACCGATAGGGGGCCGATTATATCGTGCATCCCTACTAAATACTATTTAGTAATTTGTATTTTATTGAGATGATGAAAACACCTTCGTATTTTGTATCAAAATACTTTAGTATTGTGTATTTTTAAAATACTGTAAAATACTTTGAGCCACAGTCTGTTGTGACATCTATCTATCTATAAACATGAAATAGTGTCTGTGGCACCTCCACAGTCAAGTCCCTGTAATACCATTCTTGGCCACTAGGGATTTTGGCACCATTTTCCACTTGCTATGGGTACGTTGCACGATCAACGGAAAACGCATGTTGCTGCAGGTTAGATTGAGTCAGGTATCTTCTCCTTGGTGCTTTGCCCAGACCAGTCAAGGAAGTTGTTTCAAAGCAAGGTGAGCAACGAAATTTACCTCGTTTATTTCAGTAACTCATGATTCACTCTTTTTATCGCATGTTCCTGTTCAGTGTTGGTAGGGCTAGGCTATTTAACTTTTGAACGTTAGCTGCTAACTAACTCTGTTAGTTTCACTGTTGTTGATTTCACCAGTAAACATTCAAAGAATCACGTTTTTAAAGTTGTTATGTTACACCAGAGGTAACCCATTAAAAATCAGCGGGATCCGAATAAAGGAAATCATCAATCAGTAAAGGTCTGGAGACATTTTTATTGATCTGTTACTTTAAAGAGAATTTAACACTGAAATAAAACAAGGTGGTTATGCATTCGTGTTATACATTGAATTTTTGAATAAAAAAATAGAAAATTTTTCCATTTTAAAATCTAGTTTTTTTTTTTTTTTTTTTTTTTTGAAGTAGAGAACAACAATCTTTCAGTTTGGTTTATAGACAATTTCCTGATTCCCTTATTTTATTAAACACCTGAACTGACCGTTTCTTTCTTTTTTCTGTCTTAATGTTGGCAGTGGACTTTAGGCTGCCCTGGAAGGCTTTAAACCTGGGTTTGAATGGAGACTAAGCCTTTTTCAAGCACATATCAAGGAGCTCATTTTGAGCCTGGATCCAGATTTATTGTTGATTCTGTTCATGGTGGAGAATCCTGCTTCACAGCAGCAGGTTGAGCCAAACATCCTCTAAATGTGCAGGGTCATCTTTGAGCACGCCATTTCACTCTCCTACGAATTTAATAATAATATCGCTCCTGCTCTCCTCGAGCTCCGAGGATAAGTCGGAGCGCAGCAATCCGGGAGGAACAGCGGAGGCTGGAGGCTTTGCTTTGCACAGGCTGACTGGAGCGCTGCGGGGCGGAGCGGTGAAGGAGGATGCTGGATTTTTAGGGCAATAGGAGAAGCAGCGCAAGTGAAGTTAGACACTGTCGTCATACAACATGTGGTAATTTGTAAATGTTTTAAATCAGGTTGGGTCCAGATTAGCCAAGCAGGTGGGTCCGGATCCGGACCGCGGACCTCTGTGTTACACGGTTTACTTGTTTCATGTAATCAACCTATAGCCTCCAGAGGACTTTAGTATCTCATTGTCAATATGTCTGCTGCTGCAGCACCACAGGTGACCTTTTACGCCACTTATAGCAGGCTGGTTTTGGCTCAAACTAGAGTTGGCCGTTATAATTTACTTTTTCTTAGAAATGTAACTAAATAATCTTCTACTGCTGACTGTATTTAGCCTACACAATATCAATGTTAGGAGTAAGGCAGTAAAAAAGTAATTTAATTAGGCTAGTAATGCATTGCTTTTTGCAGTATTGCAGTAATGTAAGGCATTACAGTAATATATTACTCAGCAAAATTCTCAGTAACTGAAGTTACTTTTCTTGTTTTGTTACTTTGATGTTTTTCCAGATAGTGTAAAAGTGGAGGGATAGAAGGAAAATGCTCTAGAATGAAGTATTTTGTAGTATTTTGAAAATACCTAATTTTATCTTGATACATTTTATGGCTGCTGTACACTCCTGATCAAATGCAGTAAATGCAGTTTTCAATTAATTGCCCGCTCAAAAGTTTTTGTCTCTTACGCTGATTTCTTCCTTTAACATTGTGAAGCTCTACTTCGAACCTTCTTTAGATCCAATAGTGCAAAATGTAAATTCTTGCAATTTTTTTGACTGGTCTTAAGATTTTGACCAGGAGAGCATTCTGTAGTTCAATTTGACACATTTTTAAGGTGACTATTTAGTATTTTATTTGGAAATACATTTTGAATGTATTTGTGCCTTTAAATGAGATCTGCACCACACAGCAAATCACCATCATCTTTGTAATAGTAGTGTCCACATTATCAGACTGCCTGGTGAGCATTTCATTTCTAGTGCTAGGCTCTGACACAGCAGCTGGACGGCTTTACTGGCAGAGATAATGGAGATCATGAAGAGAGCTGAGGACACTGCATAAACAAAGGAAGGACCCAGGAAGGCAAGGTTAATCATACTCAATGTCATAAAAAACACTCTTAGCAACAGAATCAGATATTTTGATTTGGTAAGTCAATATAAACGCAGCTAAAAAAAAAAGATTAGGAAAGGAAAAGGTTTTATATTTGATCAATCAAATCATGGCTGAGATAATAAAACTCAAAACTCATCTGAAAAAAAATAAAATAACCCATCAGAGCGTTTGTTAGATGCTCAGAACAGATCAATATGTGGATGCACCAAAATCTTCTACGACTGAATAAAAACCAAACTGATGTAAGAATCTCCAGACTAGAGGAGAAACCCAGAGTTCGCTCCCAGCTTCAGTTACTACAGCTAGAAACCAGTGATTATGGCGGAAATCCTAGTGTCAGGATGAAGCCAGACCTGAACCTTCAGCGGCTCATAAAGGCCGTTACTAAGGCTACGTTCACACTGCAGGCCTGTGTTTATGGAAGTAAACATGGATGGTAGTGCTGGGCCGCATCTAGCGATCTTTCCCAACCATAAAAACACAATCTTTTCAAGATGGTTAAACATAAATACTGCTCTCCTCATCGCCGTCCGCCATGGTCTTTTTTTCTTGCCGCTTCTTCATAGCAAGACCCAGAATCGTGACCTTTGTTGGGTATTAATGGCGTTCGGGTCGGATGGATGCGACCTGGCCGTTCAGACACAGGTCGCATTCAGGACCACATAGCCAAGTGGCCTGGGTTGATTGGAGAAAAAAAAAAAAAAAAAAAATCGGATCTGTGTTGTTCAGACAGACAGCCATGAAAAGATCCGATCCAGCCAAAAAAAAAATCTTACTTGGGTCACTTCAGGCTCCTGTGTGAACGTAGCCTAAGTCAGCCTTTTATCACCTAAAGAACATCTTCAGGACTAATGTCCAAAAACTAATTCATGCATTTATCTTTAATAGAATTGATCACTGCAACAGTGTCTTGATAGGTTTGCCTAAAAAGTCCATCAGGCTGCAGCTGATTTAGAACGCTTTTTTTTTTTTTTATGAACTATGTTTGTTCTCTACTTCCAAACTCAGCATCTCTTCATCCATTCCTGCAATAAGAAGTTTCTTTTGACTGGATTTGATTAAACTTTAAGTCCCTCTGTATAAAGTAAACATTTTGATGGAGATGAGAAATCTGCTTCCTGGTTGGTGAATAACTAGTAGTAATAGTTTGCATCCAATCGTTTAAATAAACAGTCTTAGTTTTTTTGGAATTTATATAAGAATTATGCTATAATTTCTAGTTACCGATCTGTTGTTACTTTATTTTAATTTGATGAACCGGATTGTTCTTTTTCCTGTTTGGTGCGATTGCAATTGTGCATCTTGACCTGGCCACAGGTCATACAGGTATACGCACGTCATACACACTCAAATTGTTTTAAAAAAATATAAATATAAAAAATAACAGCGGATGTCTGGGGGACAGTGATTCACCTACATGTTATGAATGCTGGCGTACCATAAAGAATAAATTATGAACAGTTTAGTTTGTGCCTTCAACTCGTTGCTCATAGGAAGACGTTACTTGGATATAACCTAACAGAATATCTTCAGAACAGCTCCAAATGACACAAAACTCATGGGTAAGTAGAACATGATGGAATAACGTAAAATCAAGGGCCAAATGTAAAAAATAAAAAAAAAAACAGCATGCAAGTGGGATACACAATGCTTAAAAATGTGCACACATAAAAACCCCCTAGGGTAAGAGACTCTCCCACCACAGTCTCCTAAAATCCTGTGGGAAACACTGGGATGGCTGAGAACCTTCACCAGCATGTTGATGGTAACTTCAGGTTCCGGTATCTGAACATGAATATGAGGACTAAAAACCAAGATAATTATTTTAGCAGGATTTGTCCCATCTGTGGAGTTCACCACTACATTTACCTCAGCAAGAATGTGAAACCATTGCTAACCAGGACATATTCAGACCCACCACTTGTGAAAGTGTTCATAGATCATCCTGCATTTCTCAACAAGCAACTATGCAAATTGAGCCTGAACCAACCAGTCATGCATCTTTGCCCTTCAGGAAATCCTACCTTTGCAAATAACTCCTGCTGCTGCCTGAGCAGCTCCTCTTCTGGGATGCCCAAGTTCTCCAACCGGGAGCTAGCCTTCCTCCTCTTCAGAGCTACACTCTTACACTCCTGGAGGACATCTTTCACCTCCGTTATATATGAAGCGAAACCGAGACTCTCCAGCGCTGCGAAACCGAGAGGAGAAAGTTGCAACAATGACTTTCAGTGGTTTAAAAGCCAAACTCCACGCCTCCCCTACTTTATATCAATGAATCCAGGACGCAGAGACCATCAGGACTCACCGTTGATGACATGCTCCGGAGAAATGGTCTTCTTGTCGGATTTGTTGCATATTTCGTTGGCTTCAGAGGAGATCAGGTGGATGAACTCCGTACAGCAGTTCACCACCAGCTCCCGGGCGTCGTTAGCAACCCTTACGTTAGGCAGAGTCTCTTTGATCATCTTGTTGATCGCTGCTCTGGGGATTGTCAGATCATCGTCGTTGCCAGAGGAGGAAGCCATAGTGGCTCAAATGTACCTTTTTTTTCCAAAATAAAATATAAATGGTGAAGCTCCAACTAAAAGCCCCGTTGCGTCAAATAACCCCGAGCAGGTTGAGTAAGATAAATGAAGAAACGTTTCCTTCAAAGTAAGGTGTGCGGGTTAGCTATTAGCAAACACACCGTCCCTGTCCGAGCGCTTTAAAAAAGAAAAGAAGAACCGCTCTGGTCTTTGACGGTTTTACAAGAAATACATCAGAAATCAAAGAAAATACACCCTGCACACACTCAACAAAATGACAGAGTTACCTAAAAAATAAAGCTTAACTAGCCAGCTACTATGCTAGCTAGCAGCGGTGGTCCCAGCGCGGAAATAAGTGAAAGCGGCTGCGAGCATGGCTAAAGCTAGGCTAACAATGAGCTCCGGACGTAAGGAAAGCAGCTTTGAAGCGACCTTTAAGAGGAGGGCGGCCGCAGTGAAATCCTCACAGCAAAGCGGGGAGCTTTTCATCCTCCACAAAGAAATCTGAACAGAATTTAATATACAGAAATGAACGGAAGATACTTTATTCTTGGCAACATTATCTGAATTTTATCCGGATGCAACGTCAAGCAAAGAACCGGAAATAGAGTGCAACGGTCATGTTTTTGAAGTAGCATAGGTAGGGTATACTGCCACCTAGCGGTCAGTTTGGAGATTTTTTTTGTATTATTATAAAAAAAAAAATCTTACTTTGATGTCCTGTAAACTCCTTTTTATTAGTAGTATTTATTGATTCAAAAGTTACAAGGGCAAAATAGAAAAATTTATGAAATAGAAAAAAACAAATTGCAATCTCAAATTAAATGAAAAGCATTCAGACAAAAGGTATTAGGTATTACAGGAGACAATCCCCCCCTTAATGACAATCCCCCCTTTAACGACCGACCCCTAGAATCATAGACAGGTTCAGATATTACAGGCTAACGATGGAACTAACGACCCATTCATCGGTTTCCATTGCATGTTTCCAAGCGATACAAGGCCTTGTCTATATAAGACTCAAACTCACTGCGGATCCAGACATTTGAATTGAGAAAGCTTCCTGGAGAGGTGGCGAAACGTCTTCAAATCTTGAAAACCAAGTCCAGTGGATATTTTTTGAATTTTTACGGAACATTCAGACAAAATACTTTTTCCAACAATAAAAACTGGACTTTAAAATATTTACATCTGTGAATAAAAAAAAAATTCAATAAGTAGAAGAAAGTTTCCTTAAGAGAAGATGCACATGATGCTTAGTTTGAAGGATTGCATTCGAGTCGATGAGTCGATGCAATCAACCGGTTTTCCTTAGATAGAAAACTTTGAATCAATCTGACTGGATGATCTGGTGAACTGGAAAGTGCCTTGAGATGACATGAGTTGTGAATTGGCGCTATAGAAATAAACTGAATTGAACTGAATGTGTACGCAGCAAGGATATTGGAGGAAAACTGACTTTTCAAAGTCATTTTCATCTGAAGAGTTTTTTTATTTTATCTTTTCCTCTACTTTTTTTCTCATGCTCTCCATGGGTTTTTATTTAGCACTTACCTGTTTTACTATGTAGCACTTTAGGATTTGTGTAAATATAAAGTACATTAAAAGTCCAAAGTATTATTATTATTATTATTATTATTATTATTATTATTAATGAATTAAAAAAGAGTTTCCAAGCTGAAGCAAAACGTATATCAACAGTTACCAAACTTAGAGAATCCAATCTCTGTCTCGTTGCCACTCCTCATAGCCTTCTTTAGTGATACATCCATCAAATTAAAGAAAAAATAAGGTCCTTCACATCCTTTCCTAAAGAGAAAAAAGAATCCTTGGTTAGATAGTTGTATAAAAAAATAGGATGACAGTTTCTACAGTTTATTTCAAGTAAAAAAAAATAAATAAAAGAAAAAATGAATGAACTGGTGTTCTGAATGCTGTTGATGCATGTATGAACAGTTTAACACTGTTTAAGAACAGTTTGGTTCAGGTGTTACAGATGAGAAGAGGAATATTGATTCCTTATGTGCTTGAAAATAATTTATGTGGGGTTTTTTCTTGTTTTTTTTTGGTTTTCTAGTGCGTATGCGTTATAACAAATAAAGATTGACACGGCGAACCTAAATTAAGTGCAGGTTAAAACAAAGGCAGTCTATTAATTACTAATCAGTGGCAAAATAAGTGTTGGACTTCAAATGGATTTCTACCAGCAGGAAACTGCTTTGCAAAGTGGCATTATCTTGGTTGATGGATTTCATGTTGCAATTACACCAGTTGGACAGAAGGTGGCAGTAAATGCCAAGAAACGCTACAATCCACGGAAGCCTGTGCAAAGGATATAGTCTCTACAAGTCATCTCTATAAATTAAGATGTTAAGAAATATATTTTTTTTGTATTCATTGCGCACAAGAATAAAAATAAACTTTAAGAAGTTTCAATATTGCATAACATAAATAAATAAATATTTAATGCAGAAATATTATGCTATGGCCTACATTAGAAAAAGCAAGACATCCTAAAAAAAACCTCCATAAGGAGAGCTGCTAATGCAGATGGCTTCTTCCAGGAAGCTGCTTTCAAGCAAAATACTGGAAAGTTTTGTGGAAGGAAACGTTGTGATATGAAACGGAGAACATTTACATTTAACTTGAACTGTGGATTGAACTGCAGCTGGAGTCCCAGCTTTGAGAAAACCTTCACATATTTAAACAGGAAATCAACCGTCACAATTCTTGTATTAAACCACTGAGGCAGAGCACGGCAAGTTTATTTGTAAAACACATATCAGTAAAAGTTCAATTCACAGTGATTTACACGAATCAATCAATACAACACAAGAAAAACAAAAGGAAGTAAAGATTATTATAAAAGCAGGTAGTGAAACAAATAAAATAGTTGGATCACAACCTTAAACTAATAATACATCAGTTAACAGTTTAACTTCAAAATAGACTATCCAGAAGAATTTTTTTTTGTTACAGTGTCCTGTCTGGCGATGTGACAATAAGAATAATTGTCTTGATGCCAAAAACAGCCCAACAGATTTTGCTTTCACAATTGGAGCGGTACGGCTATCACCATAGTGTTATGCTTAATTTATGCATATAAATAGCTTAATTCTAAGTAATGGAGGGCGTATTACAGATTATATCGACAATGCAATGTAAGTAGAACAGAAAAGGAAAAGAAAAGAAGAAAAGATGAAAGAAAGAGGAGATAAAAGGGAGATAACGATAAAATATCTTCATTCTGCTTCATCACCTGCAAAGAGATGTGAAAAGAACAGCACAACCAACGGATATAGTATAAAAGATACAATAAAGTAACACTTTAATACTATCGCTGAGGTTTAAGTAATATTATTCAAATCTGACATGTAGTCTGTGTTACCTAAAGATAAGAATATGGGCTTTCTGTATGGAAGTGAATCTCTGAGTACCTGGAACCAAGCACCTGTAGTTGTTTGTGAAAGTTCACTTATGCATGTAAAGTTTATCCAAAGGAAAAATGCTCAATAGTGGTTGTGAAGAGCCAAAGACGCGCCCCTCCAGAGCACAGAGGCAAGCGCCGGGGGATCCAAAGCCCCAGACGCCCAAAGGGACCCCAAGAGGAAAGGCACCCAGGAGGGGCCAACCCAGGAAATCCGACCCCCACCAAGGGAGGAGTAGATACGGCCCCAAGGAAGTCCCCCAGCCACCACAATGCCAGAGACGCTGGGAGCCGCTGGGATGAGTCCGTGGCCTCCGCTGGCAGCCAGCCACCCCGAAGTGGATCTGGCCATAGACCCCAGGGACCAGAGGCCCCAGGGACGCCTCACCCCCGGCGGGAATAAGTCAGTACCCGCCCGGGCATCCACCAGTGCATCGGAAGGTGCATACAGAAGGATTTTAAAGTCTATTCTCTGAGCTGCGGTCCAGTGGAAGGACTTTAGAACCGGGGGGATGTGCGCCGCTTTCTTAGTTCTAGTGGGAACATGGGCAGCAGCGTTTTGGATCAGCTAAAGCTGTCTGATGGACTTTTTAGGCAAACATATGAAGACACAGTTGCAGTGATCAATTCTACTAAAGATAAATGCATGAATCAGTTTTTCTAGATCCTACTTGGACATTAGTCCTTTAATCCTGGAGATGTTCTTCAGGTGATAAAAGGCTGACTTAATAACGGCCTTTATGAACCTCTGCAGGTTCAGGTATGAGTCCATCCTGACACAAAGATTTTAGCCACAAACAAATGTGAGCTAACTCTGGACCTCTCCTCCTTTGTACTAAAGAATATTCCCGTAGTTTTGTTTTATTATGGTGCATCCACATATTGATCTGCACTAAAAAGCAAATACTTTGATGAGCCACTTCTTATAGACTATGAAAAGTGTTTCAGCTTAGCTAATAATGCAGTGCATTTGATTGGGAAATCAAGGCCCTCGGTGTCAAGAGGAAGAGTAAAGGGGCCAATAATGCCAGCTGCCTGAGGTTCAGTTGGATGTGTCATTAGTTTTTCAGTGTATGGGATCCTCTGGTGTTGGTTTCTGTTTATCAAGTCCGAAAAACAAACAAGCAAACAAAAAAAATCCCTGTCGAGTATTATGGAAAGGCAGATTTTCCTTTCCACCAGCACTTGCTTCACCAAGCATTACCAAAAGTACAAACTCCTGCTTGAATGATCATGTCTTACAGGGAAAACTGCAGAAACAAAGAACCAGAGTAACATTAGAAACACCTGAAGTCAGAGTCCATAATTTAATGCAGTAGGTTAAAGTCAGTTAGATGTTTGGTTTGGTTAGCATTAGCGGACCTGGCAAGAGGACGGGCTTGAAAGCACCACTTACTGGCCAGGAGGAGTTCAACATGAGGTAGTTACCTTTAATGTGCAGAAATGAACCTGTTATATCAAAGCCATTCCATATAAATATTCTACTGGACCAAAATCAATACAGAAGAATTTCCTGCTATAAGCTAATTCCTTTGGTGTAAGTTTTGAGAAGAGCAGCTTTTCTGCAGATCAGGAAATGTAATAACAATGATCAAATCACATCAAATTTATTTGTATAGCCCTTTATAAATGGTACCCAACGTGCTTCACAACAAAGCCATAAAAACAATACATAACACATATAAAAACATACAAGATACAATTAAAAGGGCTGCAGTGGTGCAGCGCTGCAGGACATTAAAAGCCTTCCAGAGGTGCATAGAAAGGAGCACACAGAAAGAGGACATCTAAGAGACAGTATTATCCTAGTCAGAATTAAAATCTAAATTAAAAAAGTGGGTTTTAAGCTTTTTTTAAAAAAAGGCTGAGGTCAGTAGTGGTGCGGATGTCAGGGGGTAGTTTGTTCCACAGTCTGGGAACAGCGACAGCAAATGATTGATCGACCCACTGTTTGAGTCTTGACCTAGGGACCTCTAGCAGAAGCTGACCTGAGGAGCGTAAAGCTCTGCCACAATTGCGGAAAGTTAAAATCTCAGACGAGTAAGAGGGTGCAAAGCCATGGATGGCGTTAAAAACAAATAGCAGAAGTTTAAAATCGATTCTAAAACGGACTGGAAGCCAGTGGAGTGACGACAGCACAGGAGTAAAATGTTCACGTCTGGATGTGTTTGTTAAAAATCGGGCAGCAATG